CGCTGCAGAGAGACAGCTCTGCCCAGGAGCAGCTCCTCTGCAAAGCGCAGCAGGGCTGAGGGCACTGCCTGCAGCGACCAAGCAGAGATGAACAAGACAGAGAGTGGTTAAAGGCGGTCTGGAGTGGGAGGATGCTGAGAGCTCACTGCGGGAGAACTCTTCACAGCCCTTCGTGGGGTCAGTCTCTGGAAGCAAGGCAACACAGTTGCAGCTCCTGGAGAGCTCTCCAAAAGCTGGCACATCCCACATCCTGTGAGATCTTTCAGGAGAACTCTAACAGCTTTTGTTGTGTGGAGGAGGACATGCTCCAAAGCACGAGTTCCCTGCCGCCCTGTAAGAGGGATAGTGCATGACAGCTGCCTTCTCCCAGGGATGGCTGCAGGGAGTAAAGGTGGGTGTTCAGGCAGGGATACCCAGGGCTTTCCTTCCCAGAAGGGTCCCTGCACCCCAGGGAGCTGTGTGCTGAGGCAGGGACTCTGCTGCCTGCCAGGTTCAGCACTCAGCTTACCCCGGGAGCTCACCTTGGTTCTGCAGGGAGAAGTTGTGGGTGAAAGGAGTGACCTCCAGCAAGACAGAGTCCTTCTGCTCTTCAGAGGATGCTGCATGGGTCAGGGCTGCTGAGACTTATACACCACCCAGAGGACATTTGCAGGCTGTTCATTTTAAAAGTGGATTATCAAGGTAGGGTATACCCTGAAAGGGTACAATTCTGTGCTTTCAGTTTTCCCCTCGTGGTTGGCTGGGTAGGCAGTGGGAGATGGGAATTTCTTTCTCTTCTCTGGGGTAGGCAATGAGAACCCAGTTCTCATTAGCACTTGTCTGAGCTGCTCCTTACCCCTGCATACATGGAGATGTCCCCGGGCAGTGCCCTGCTGCCAGGAGGTGTCTGCAGGGCAGAGCTGAGCACACAGCAGGAGAGATGGGCTCTGTCAGCATGCAGAGGGAGGAGACGTGGGGAGAGAGAAACAGGTCCTTGCCAAGAAGAGCTCCAGGCAGCAGAGCCATGGGCAGGAAGGAAGAGAGAACTGCTGCCAGAAATGCCGTGGGAGGAGGGATTCAGGCCACCCCCTTCAGTGCAGACGCTTTCCCTGGAGCCACCCCCTGGTCTCCTCACTCACACAGCAGAGCCTCTGCCCTCAATGTCATGGAGATTTGGCCATGAGTTGCCTTCCCAACAGCCTGACCACCAAAGAGGAGAGAAACTCCAGTCCCTGACTGGGTCTCCCTCTCCTGCCTCCCTTGCAAAGGGACACTTGGGCATCTTCTCTTCTTCCTGCTGCCCTTGGTCTTACTGTTACACTCCCTGGTGTATTGGGGGATGAGGATTCAAGTGCAGCTCAGACACCAATGCTGTCTGCACTGCCATGCACGTCTGCCCAGGGAGGAAAAGCATCCCACTTTCCCCCCGTGAACCTCTGGGGCTCTGGGTACTCCAGCGTGTGCGGCTGGCAGGGATCTCAGCCTCTCTTCAGGACATAACAAAGGGAGGAGAGGTGACTCTTTCTTTGGGAGGCCCTGCTGGGCTGCAGGCTGCCCTCCAGTAGAGTACAGCTCTCCCGTGGCACCTCTATGTTATGCAGGAGCCTCATGGAGTAGACTCCTGTGTGCTGAGGCCACTAAAATGCTGCTGGGTGGCTGTAGGTGGGCAGCTGCCATGAGCACTCGGTGTCCCTGCTTGGGAGGGCAGAGCTGAGATCCTCCACAGGTACGATGGGCTGAGGGGTTTGGAGATCTGCACTTGGAAACTGGATGCCTCTGCTCCCACCAGTGCCCTGTTTCTTTTGGGGGGAACCCCAAATTGCAATAGTCCTGCAGCTGAAAGAGCTGCCAGCACAGGGCATCTGAGTCCTCCCTCTGCACTAAGGGACAGCCCCTTTGCCTCTCAAGACCCACAAGATTTCACTGGCAGTGCAGCAGAAATGCCAGGGATTTCTTCATGAAAACTACTTTTGACCTGTGGTGGGGCAACAGGACCTGAAGACACCAAACAAAACCCCCACAGCTCTGCTCTTCTGTCAGGTGAGATGGGAGTGACAATGCTGAAAAGCTCTTTGAAATCAGAAGTGGATTTAATCTGATATCTCTGTTCCTATTTATCTATTGCTGTAGGGCAGGCTGAACTCCTGCAGAGCCCTCAGCAGAGCATCCTGCTCCCTGGGGCACACTCAGCCAGCATCAACCAGAGCCAACCGAAGGCCTTCCTGTGAAGGGAATGGTGGTTTGGGGGGTTTCTATAAGAAACTGAAAAGATATTTCTGAAACAAGTTTGCCCTAGTTTCTCACTTTCTTTCTTTCCTTCTTACAGATCTCCACACCCAGATGGCCAAAATGTCCAACAGCAGCTCCACCACCAAGTTCCTCCTCCTGGCATTTGCAGACACACGGGAGCTGCAGCTCTTGCACTTCGGGCTCTTCCTGGGCATCTACCTGGCAGCCGTCCTGGGCAATGGCCTCATCATCATGGCTGTATCCTGCGACCACCACCTCCACACCCCCATGTACTTCTTCCTCCTCAACCTCTCCCTCCTTGACCTGGGGTGCATCTCTACCACTATCCCCAAATCCATGGCCAATTCTCTCTGGGACATTAGGGACATCTCCTACCAAGGGTGTGTGGCCCAACTATTTTTATTTTTATTTTTTATGTCAGCAGAGTATTATCTTCTCACTGTCATGGCCTATGACCGCTACGTTGCCATCTGCAAACCTCTGCACTACGGGACCCTCCTGGGCAGCAGGGCTTGTGTGCACATGGCAGCAGCTTCCTGGGGCAGTGGGTTCCTCTATGCTCTCCTGCACACTGTAACTACATTTTCCATACCCCTCTGCAAGGGCAATGCTGTGGACCAGTTCTTCTGTGAAATCCCCAAAATCCAAAAGCTCTCCTGCACAGATGATAACCCCATGGAAGTTGGGGTTCTTGTGTTTAGTGCCTGTATAGCGTTAATATGTTTTGCTTTCATTGTAGTGTCCTATGGGCTCATATTCAGGGCTGTGCTGAGGATCCCCTCTGAGCAGGGGTGGCACAAAGCCTTTTCCACGTGTTTCCCTCATCTGGCCGTGGTCTCCCTGTTTGTCAGCACTGGCATGTTTGCCTACCTGAAGGCCCCCTCCATCTCCTCCCCATCCCTGGACCTGGTGGTCGCTGTTCTGTACTCGATTCTGCCTCCAACAGTGAACCCCCTCATCTATAGCATCAGAAATCAGGACCTTAAGGATGCCCTGCAGAAACTGAGTAGACACTTTTCAGCAGCCAGAGACCACGTATCTTCCTCCACAAATGACTTTCAGTGTCTGTCATGACAGGGCAGGTCTGTCTTCTTTTTTTTGTTTGTTTTTTTTTCTTTTTTCTTTTTCCAGTTCTGATGATTTTGTTTGCAAAGAAATGTTATTTATCCCATCGTTCTTAAGTATCCATCATCTTATAAGACTCAGAAAGTTTTTGTAAATAAGGAGTGAAGCTCTCTGTGTATTTAAGTAAAATAAATGAACCAACAGCAACTTCTTTCTCTGAGATTCATCCCCAGTGGGGCAGGAACGAATGGGAAATGAAAACACCTTTCTGGCTGTACCAGCCTGGGGCAGGTTGCTCTCTCTCTGGGGCAGCAGGAGCAGCCAGGGGAGCCCTAGGGCCTGGGATCTTATGCTGACCTGGGGAGAGAGGATGGCACAGAGGGGCTGCAGATACCTCAGGGTCTCCAGGAGAGGAGAGCAGGAGACACAAGGTGCCACCAAATTTTTTTGCTTTGTTCCGTAGATGTTCCCCACCTCTGGGGCTTACCCCTCTCCAGCCCTGAGGAGCTGCTGTGCCCTTCAGAGGGGCTGGGTCTGTGGGGTGAGTGCCCAGAGCTCTGCAGCACCCTGTGTTGGGCACGGCTATGGGGCCAGGTTGTGCTGTGCTGGGGAGAGGGCAGGGGAGGTGGGAAGAGCTTGGAGGGAGCTGGTATGGGCTGGAAAGAGCCTGGGATAGGAAAACATCAGCGTATAGCTTGTAGTGTGTGACCATGTAAGGTGAGGGCTTTCACCAGGGGTTTTGGTGCAGAGCCAGGGCTTCTGGAAGACATGCAAGTTCAGGGCAGAGGAGGAGGTGTGTCTGTGGCCTTGGTGGCATGGGCAAACTGGGAAGGGGACTAATGGCTTTTGTCCCCTCTCAGCCTTTCTCACTGTACATTTCTAGCACTGACCGATCACCCCAGCTTTATGGTTGAGTTTTGTGCGACATCATCTCCATCTCCTGCTGGGAGAAGCGGTGGTTTGGGGGAACAGAAATCCCTACCCAGCCTCTCTCTTTGCCCAGGCCCAGGCAGACACTAGACCAGGGCTGTCTGCTACGCCCCATGTGGGAAAAGGCTGGGGACAGGGTCAGGTGCAGGGAGTGGCTGCAAAATGAGGAGGACCATGGGGGAACTGTGATATGAAGGCTGTCATTGGGATCCTAACAGGCAGAACTTTCCTCACCCCTGACTACATCATTATGTCCCATGCTGTGCCTGCACAGTGGGACTGTGGGCAATGGGGCTGGGCCAGCACAGGGGCAGGGTGCTGACAGGGGCCATGAAGCAGATGCCAGGAGGTGACAGCAAGGACAGGCTACCAAGATGGAATTTCTAGAGACTGGATTTGTTGTGGAGGCATGTTTGTAGGAAACGCAATGCTCACCTGGAGATGCTGGTTGCAAGTAAAGGCAAAAGCAAAAAGAATTTGATTGCTGTGTTAGAAACCAAGGCTGAACAAGGCAAATGCAGGGCTGCTGCTGAATGGAGAGGGGATTTAATAACAGCAGAGACAGGAGGGGCTGAGGGACTTAAGGTCTGCGTCCTTACTGAAATGGACTCCAAGCCTCTGTGCTTGGGGCAAGGGTTCAAGGAAGAGGGAAGCACATTGTGGCAGAAACCTCAGGAAATCCTGCAAGGATGGATGCCAGTTTCTGCCCTTGCAGGGGACTCACCTGGCAGTGGCACAGGCTGTGGGGGCTGCCTGGCTGGAAGGAGGCCTGTGGGAAAGGTCTGGGTGGACAGGGAGCTGGACAGGAGGCAGCTGTGTACCCTGGCAGCAAGGGAGACAAGCATCATCCTGGGCTGGACGACCAGCAGCACAGCCAGGTGATCAAGGGAAGGGTTTATACATAACACTGTGTCCAGATTTCAAATCCCAATATAGGAAAAACGTCAGGAAGCTGGAGTCAGTTTAGGGAAGGGCTCCCAGGATGGCCAGGAGCTAAAGCACTTTGCCTTTGAGGAGAGGCTGGGGAGCTGGGCTAGCATGGAGAAAGGAAGATCTTGGGGTGGACATGTAGCAGCATGGCACTCTTCCCAGGAAGACTGAGTTGGGCTCATGTCTGTGGTGCAAGACACAAGGACAAGAGCCAATGGGCTGAAACAAGAGGGTTAGGGTCCACCCACCAAACTATGGTTACCTTAGCTATAGGAAATGCCACTCCGTTAACCACACCAATGTTAATTACCCAATTAAAGAATGTAGCTTGGTTATTGATGCATTGGCAGGACAAGCAGTTGAAACTTTAAATGAGCACTTCTGCTTTGGCACTTTGCAAGCGGGATTTGCCATTCAGTCATTAACTGAGAGAAGGGGTTAAGGGAATCTTAGTAGAGGAGCTGTTTCCCAGGGAGTCTGTGCCAGCTGTGTCCCAGAAAGTGACCAATATGTGCTTGGATAGAGTCCTGGGTAATCTGGTCTGGCCCTGCTTTGAGCAGCGGGTTGGTCGAGACCCCTGCTGAGGTCCCTTCCAGCCTGAATGATGCTCTCTGTGGGAATCTAATGGAAGTCTGGTGAGGAGGATTGTAAGCATGCTCAAGTGACTTGCAGCCCTGGATAGAAGCATTGATTATACCAACAGTCACAAATGCTATGGGTACTGTAGGGGCTGTAGTAAATACCTTGAGTGAAATTGGGGCTATAAATTTGAGACCATCTGTGCACGTGGTGAATAAAGGAAAGCTGGCAAAACCGAAAGGAGTTACATCATGGGTGATGAGGAAATAAGTGTGGAATGATCTGGTACAAGCAGGTGTCCCATGATCAGAAATAAATGGGTTTACAACTTCAGAAACATTTCACCGATGGCAAAAGTTAACACCCAGACAAAATAGCCGACCGCCGCTGGCCCCAACACCAACTCCGAGCCCATCTTCCACCCCCATCTGCCACCTCAAGGCAAGGCACAACCAGGCAAATCCAAAAACAGAAGAAATGAATGTGTGGCAGGTCCCCCAAAATTGCCACCACTGTAGCCTCTTACCATGAGGGGGACTGACGCCCCTCTGTTCCTTTAAATATAGAGTGGCGGTCTGGGGGGATTGTATGCGTGTTAGCTCTGGCAGGCACTGGAGCTGAGGTTTCTGTATGACAGAGTAATATAAATAATAAAGACACCATATCACAGATCTGTGGACTGGGGAGAAATGCAGCCCCCACCCACCAAACTATGGTTACCTTAGCTATAGGAAATGCCACTCCGTTAACCACACCAATGTTAATTACCCAATTAAAGAATGTAGCTTGGTTATTGATGCATTGGCAGGACAAGCAGCTGAAACTTTAAATGAGCACTTCTGCTTTGGCACTTTGCAAGCAGGATTTGCCATTCAATCATTAACTGAGTGAAGGGGTTAAGGGAATCTTAGTAGATAAGGTGCTGAGGAGGTCACAGCTGTACACCAATGAATGTTAGCAAATCATTTGGTGGTGGACCATCTCCTGTGTTGACACCATAAATGCTGCTTTGATTTTGAAGCATGTGCTGCTTCAACATAACTGATGAATCAGCCAGCATAGAGGATGACAGTCGACATCTCCAGGACTTCATGCATTACATGAAACAATCCTCTAGTGGTGCCTGGCTGGCTGAGTGGTTTAATTCCCTGACAGGATGAGCGGGATACCTGACTCAAAGCATTGGTTTAGGGATATGTTTATTCCTTTTCCTAGATGTGTCTGTTGCGTGCCTCTGTAAATTACCCTGCACTACACCCTGCAGACCCAAATGGACACCTCCAGCTTTGCCAGCCCCAGTAGAAGTGGTATCTTGAGCGATGGGCTGGAATGTGGGAAAATAGCAGCAAATTGGCAAGGAGGATTGTAAACACGCTCAAGTGACCTGTAGCTGGGGTGTAGAAAAAAACATATCTCATACTAAGTGTCATTTAGTCTTATGTGCTTGACGAGTTTGTGTTTGGATAACATAGGCCTGTGAGAGACCTCTACAGGCACTGTGTTGAACATGCTTGAGATTCCTGCCCTGCTGTGGGAAAGGTCAAGGCACAGTGGTAACCTACACCTGCATGAATCCCTGACAAACAGGCAAAAACAGCAGGCTCGGTGATCCTCTAGCATGGACCGAGCTCCATGTTGCCTGCATCCCCACTTGTGTGCTTCAGCTGGGGTGCTGCTTTAGTGATCCTCTGGTTGGGGAGATAATGAACATACATTTATTTGTTGTGTTTCCTCCATGGTTTTGTGGTTGTTCCTGTGGCCTGCCTGTGTTGGCTCACAAAGTGCCCTGCCCCTCTTTGGTTCCTCCTATTTGAGACAGCCTCCACCAGGGTTTCGGAACCTACCCAGCTCTCTCCGCATCCCTTGTAGTTTTCCAAAGACATCCCTGCTCAGGGGTCTGCCAGGGTCTGGACAAGGAGAGAGGTTCATTAGTGCAGCCCAGCAGCAGGCGGGAAATGGCCATGCAGCGAAACTCACCCATAAACCTGTGGAGAGCACCCAGTCCTTGACATGGCCGATTCATGAGGCCACCAGTGAAATCTCACTCGTCCCATTCCCTAACATATCGTCCCACGCCCTCCTCCCTGCAGCCCTTGGAGAACCCAAGCACAAAGGCACGGCCTCGTGGGGACAATTTCTACAGCTTGTCCCTGACCTCATCTTTGGAATGATAGACAAACCTCCAAGAAAACCTCATTTTATTACAGAGAGCACAGGAGGTTCCCCAGCTAAATTGGAAGAAACCTGTAAAGAGACATGGGCGGTTTATTGCTGCTGAGAGAGTACTGATGGAATCAGCTTATTGAGTGCATCTTTGAGCTGCTTGTTCCTCATGCTGTAGATAAGGGGGTTCAATCCTGGAGGAACCACTGCATACAGGACTGAAACCACCAGATCCAGGGATGGAGAGGAGATGGAGCAGGGCTTCAGGTAGACAAACATGCCAGTGCTGACAAACAGGGAGACCATGGCCAGGTGAGGGAGGCATGTGGAAAAGACTTTGTGCCGTCCCTGCTCAGACGGGATCCTCAGCACAGCTCTGAAGATCTGGACATAGGACAGCACAATGA